TCCGTGCAAAACTGTTGTAACTCTGTTACATTGGAGTTACAACAGTTTTACACGGAACTTATGTACAAAAACGTAAAATAGTTAAACTGTTGTTGTTGTAATATTTAGCCGGCTAAGCATTTGAAAGTTACTAAAGTTTTACAGGGGATAGATATGCATGTTTACCATCGAATTCCATGATTACTTCATTTTCATAAAATTTTGAGTTACTGCAGTCTTGCACTGAGGGTGCGATATATGCATGTATGTACAAACTGTTAACTAAACTACTAACAAACAGATTAACAACTAAGTTAGATAATTACCAGTCAAAAGAGCAAGATGGTTTTAGAAAAGGGTTTCGATAGGGTAGAACATTGGGCAGTAAAGAAGTCTTTACAAAATGAAAGAATAGACTATAGATATACGAACTTAATTTCCAATATATACGATCAAGCGACAACATCCATTAAAATAGATGAACAAACGGAACCTATTAAGATACGGCGAGGAGTTAGACAGGGTGACACATCACCCAAACTATTTAATCAAGCTTTGGAAGACGTCATGAGGCAATTGTAATGTGAAAAACATGGTATTAACATAAATGGCCAATACTTGAATCACTTGAGATATGCAGACGACATTTGTATTAATAACAGATAAAAGGGAAGAATTAGAAAATATGATGGATGAATTTAATAGCGAATCAACAAAAATAGAAGAAAAACTATAGAACAAGTAAAAGAATATGTATATTTGGGACAAGTAGTTAAATTAAATAAAGAAAATCAGACCGGAGAAATAAAGAGAAGGATCCGATTGGCTTGGGTATCCTTCGAAAAACTTTCAACCTGGAGTCTTCAACCAATGTATACTTCCGGTTTTCACCTACGGTTCTCAAACTTGGACGTTTAGAAAGGAAAACATGGAAAATTAGCAAAGACCCAAAGAGCCGTGGAAAGGCAAATGCTGAAAATCAGGCTATCAGACAAGAAAAGAAATACTTGGATCCGCAACAAAATAAAACTGATCGATGTATCAACGCAGATAGCAAAACTTAAGTGGAAGTTCGCTGGACATACAATAGGACAGAAAGACGACAGATGGAATAAGATGATTATACACTGGAGACCATATAGTTACAAACGAAAAAGAGGAAGGCCACAAATGAGATAGTCAGATGACTTGAACAAACACGCAAGCCCTAAGTGGATACAAACTGCCTATAATAGAGAGACGTGGAAGAAGAAAGAGGAGGCTTATGTCCAAAATTGGACAGCACGGGCTGTATAGATAGATATAGATATAAGCCGCTAATCGTTGCCATATTGCCTTTGATAACGTTTGCCGCAACCGTATATCGGCAGTAAAAAATAGTTTCAGACAACCCTTAATAAACACGAAAACAAAGTGATTAGTATAAACATGAGCTGTGAAGTCTAGAATCGAATATATTATTAATATTGATTTGAACAACACAACTATTAGTTGCTGCCAAATGAAAATAATATCATAAAGGCGAGATATTTTAACAATATAGAACAATTTGCAAAGTATCCGAAATTATATTGCAAATGTTTAAATTACCTTTATTTTTTAGTAACCGTTGTCAGAGTAATTTGATCAGTTTTTTTCACTCACTACACTTCACGAAAAAAACTGAACTAGATATCTTATTACTACTATCGATTGAAATATTTTGTAGATCAGATCAGTTCGCTAGATAAACCACTGATAAATGATAACAAACGCGAATATTTCGACTGCCATATTTTAGTAATTGATTTCAACGCAAATTCTGAATAAGAAGATTAATCTTCCACTTCTCCTAATCAGACATTTGGAATCCAAAAATTACAATGTTATAAAAAGTATGCGATTAAATTTTATTTTTTAACGCACCTTCTATTTTAACATTATTCAGAGCATTTACATGTACCGGGTGGTCAAATAAGCCGATCTCTCGGCTATATATCAGAATCTATTCATGTTATAACTTTAGGAGAAAAAATTCCTTAGTAAAAGTGGCCAAGAGAAATCGCTGGAAATAACTTTCAAGTTTCTGGGTTAACCGCTAGGGGGCGGAATCTGTGAAGAAAAACTTGAAAACCAGTTTTTTGTGAAATATGCCCAGTTATACCAAGTGTTAAATAAGTAAACTAGAAAGAGGCCTAAATGCCGCTTAAAGTTGTTCAAGTACTTTTTTTTATTTTTTCAAATAAAGGGCGAGGAGAGGGTGGAAAAGTATTTGTGAATAAATACCTATAACTTTGGTTCGGATCAACCCATTTTAACGAAATTAGTGTCACTAAAAAGAGTGTGGATGATTTAATTTACATCTATTATAAAACAATTGCATTTAATTGATGAATTCGACCGTAGTTAAACCGTTACCATTCGACCGATGGAAATTCATTTTATGTAACAATAAAACTCTGAAAACTTTGTTTTCAAACTTCCACAAAATTTATTTTAACTATTATCACTACAGCTGTTTCGGCTGATTGCCTTTCTCAAGTGATCTATTTTTGGCATGCGTTTACAATTTATAGTCTCTAATGAAATAGGTTGAGGAGGGGAGAATGGATTTCCACCACCAGAGAAAAAACCCAGTACCTTCTGCTCGATTACATATACAGGCAAAATAACAACAAAAATAGCCAAACACATAAAAAAGAAAGGAATAACACCAGCTTTCCGAACAAATAACAACCTAGGCAAATATATTAAAAATAACAAGTGCCAAACTTGTAGAAACTTTAATAAACGAATAGCAGAACATAAAAGGGCTTTAAATAATAGAAAAACAGATTCGACATACGCACTTCACCTTCTAGATCATAATCATTCTTTTAATGACAAATTTAAAATACTTAACATTCAAAATAAAGGCCTTAAGCTATCTTTGTTAGAATCTATGGAAATCAACAAATTAAAAAACACAGATATAATTCTGAATGACCAACTTGAGACAAACAGTTCTCCCCTCCTCAACCTATTTCATTAGAGACTATAAATTGTAAACGCATGCCAAAAATAGATCACTTGAGAAAGACAATCAGCCGAAACAGCTGTAGTGATAATAGTTAAAATAAATTTTGTGGAAGTTTGAAAACAAAGTTTTCAGTGTTTTATTGTTACAATTGCATTTAGTTTTACATGTCATAGGTAGAAAGGAAAATGTATCGTATGCCTGTTTAAAGTCGATGAACAGGATGTATACTGCTATTTTAGTAGCACGTAGTCTGGATTTCTTTTAATGCAAATATTTGGTTTATCGTCGACCTATTACTTCTGAGTCCTGCCTGATATTCGCCCAATATCTTTTCGGTGTATTGATTCAGCTTTTTTCTTATGATGCTTGTCAATATTTTGTACACGACTTCTAGCAAGGCGATACCTCTATAATTTTCACATCTCATTTTGTAACCTTTTTAATATATAGGGCATATACTCGCCTTGGCCCATTCTCCTGGTATTTTTTCTGTTTCCCATATACTTTTTATCAGGCTATGTATCTCCTTGTGTAGTCTTTTTCCTCCTGCCCTTATCATTCCCTCCGATATATCTGTTATTCCTGGGATTTTATTGTTTTTTGGTCCTATTATTTCATTTTCCATTTCTTCCCTCGTAGGTGTTTCTATTACTATATGATCGTCTTCAATTTCCTGGATTGTTCCCATTTCTCCTTCATTTTTGTTTAGAAGTTGTGTAAAGTAAGTTTGCTAATTTCTCATTATTTCCCCATATTCATTTATTAATATTCCTTCCTCGTTTTTCATATATGGGTTATGTTTCTGATATCCCTTTTCCATTTTTCTTCATTCCTGGTAAAAGGATCTTATTTCCTTTTTTTGGAATTTTTTCTCTATCACTTTGAGCTGAATCAATCAGCGGTACTCCGAATAGATGGAGAATATACAGAACAGGTCAAAATCTTAAGAGGAGTGAGACAGGGGTGCATAATTTCACCACTGATATTCAATCTGTACCCGGAGCACATTTTTTAAGAGGCCCTTAAAGCTATTGATGAAGGCATCTCAATAAATGGAGTCAAGCTTAATAACCTGCAGTATGCAGATGACACAATAGTGTTTTCCAATACCATAGAAGGGCTGCAAAACTTAATGAACAAAATAACAGAAACAAGTAGAACCTATGGACTATAAACACCAGCAACACCAAGCTAATGATCATCAGCAAGTAAAACATAACTGGAGCAAATCTGTATGTGAACCAAATGAGAATTGAACGTGTCTCACAATACTTGGGAACTATAACGTATAATCAATGAATCGTGGGACAATACACAAGAGATTAAATGTCGCATCGGAAAGGCCAAAAGTGCATTCTTGGCTATGAGCTCTGTGTTCAAAAACCATGACCTCACCCTGAAAGCAAAAATAAGGCTTCTTAAATGTTACGTGTACTCAGTGCTTCTGTATGGAGTAGAAACGTGGACATTGAAGGCGGAAACTCTATCAAAACTTCAGGTCTTTGAATTATGGTTATACAGAAGAATCGTGAAGATACCATGGACAGACAAAGTCACCAATGAAGAAGTACTGCGGAGGATGAACACAACCGTTGATTTGGCCAACATTGTGAAGAGCCGTAAGCTGGAGTACTTGGGACATATAATGAGAAATCAAGGCAGATACAAGCTACTCCAATGGACGAAGAAGAATATCCTGGTTTGCTAACCTGAGAGCATCATATAGAAAGACCTCAACACAGCTATTTCATATAGCATCCAACAAAATCATCATAGCAAGAATGATCGCCAACGTTCGGAACGGACAGGCACCCTAAGAAGAAGAAGAACTTTGAGTTTTTCTTCGTTGTATTTTCTTTTTTTTATTTCTGCACATTCTCTTCATGGTTCTCCTCGATTCTCTATATTCTTGTATGCTATTGCTGCTATTATTTTTTAAATTTTTTAGTCTTATTTTACTAATTTATTCTGCTTTTTTGACATTCCTCATAATACCATTCTTTTGCTTTTTGTTTTCTATTACCTTTAATTAATGTTTCTTTACTGGTGTTTAAAACTGCTTCTTTTATGCTTTCCCACTTTTCTTCCGGGTCTAGTGTTTGTGGTTCTTCATTTAGTCTGATGGTAATTCGTTGTTCGTGCTTTTTCTGTGTCGTATTATTTTTTAGTATTTCTGTGATGTATTGCTTTTGATTTCTTTGTCCCTTTGATTGTCTTTTTGATTGTTTGATTTTGATTTTGGACATATTTTTGTGCCCATGTTGTTCGTATATCGCCTCAAAACTTTTAAACTTTTGTTTTCTTGAATTATATTAGTTATTTCTTTTGTATTTTTTTCTCTTACGTCTTGTCGGATTCTATTGATTCATGATATCAGATTCTATCTATTTCTCTTACTTTCATGATTTCCCGTATTCTGATGTGTGTACCTTTAATCTTAATTTTGTTGGTTAAAATTTCATACTTAACAACTTCAACTTCGTATCATTTACCTGTAGCTTTTGTTGCATCGAGTCATAAAAAAAATGTAGTTAAAGCAGGTTGTGAATTTTGCATCTAAATAATAGAGGTCGCCAATTTGACCACGTATTAAATTTCATCTAATAACACCACAGTTGTTTGAAGTTTTTAAAATATATGTTGTTGATACCTGTATACTTTGCATTTTTTTCAGATAATTTAAATTTAAAAATCGTCAACAAAACAAAATTCAAAATATGGAATATTATTCCGTATAATACGAGTATGAGTAGTCTTTTTAACTATGTAAAAACATTAATGTTGAAATTAATAATAAGTTGGTTAAAAAACTGGAAGTGAATAACATTATAAACAGACAGTCAAAAAACTAAGCCCAACAAACAAGTTTGTTATATGGTACATCTAACTTATTCTAAAAAATGTTAAATATACAATTTTTTGAGAGTTTACCTAAACTTTCTTCACACTATTGTCGTAGCTAAACACAAAATATGTATATACTTTTAACAGTATGTCAGATTTGTACGGTGTTTATGTAAACAGTTTTTATCGAGAAAAGAATATAACTCCTTTAGGTCGCAACTATTCTCAAAACGATTTAAGGAGAATAATTTAGCTTTATATACACCGAAAAAAGATCAATGCAATATTTGTTTTTCATTTAAATATAGAATACGAAAGAATACGACTGAAGAAGAATATAGAGCTCATATAAAGAGAAATTCCGCTCTTACCATGGCCCGGCAACGCACCAGACATGAACCCCATTAAAAATGTCTGGAAGTGCTCAAAAAAAGAGAGTTAGCCAAAGGACATAAATACCAACAAAGTTCAGTTGATAGAAAGAATAATTAATTTTTCATTAAAATCACACCAAAAATTTAAAAGAGAAAAAGGTAGGAAAATCGTAGGAAATCGTAGGAAAATGCATAAACAGCATGCCTAGGATAGTGGCTGCACTGCTGAAAGCCAAGGGTGGCTTAACAAAATATTAACGTTTTAGTAAAATAGTCAGATAAAATTATTATAAAAAGTTGTTTTTGTTTAATAAATATGGAAAAAGGTTACTACTATCGTTTGTGTTTTGTTTCCTACTTTATATTTACTTACTTGATTTATACGCAAAAAGTTTATTATTGAATATTAAATATATATATATATATATATATATATATATATATATGTTGAACAATTATTCCGGGAAAATATCCGTTGGTCATTTTTTAATTGCAGACGTTTCGCCAAGGTCTCACTTGGCATCTTCTGTGCGTTGTCTTCGGTCTCGTAGTCGGTAACTGAATGAGCTGCGCTCAGTCCTCACTTCTTTTATATCGTGCGCTGTTCGAGCGGATCGTCGCTGATTGGCCGTATTCGTTACGCCGCTAGGCCCCGCCCCCTGGGGAGCGAAGCTCAGGCAGTCAGTTTGATGTTGGCGTCTCGAGATTATGGACTTCCAAGCTTGGGGCAGATTTAAGGAGTCGTCACGTTTGTTAAGAAGACCTTCTTTTTCAATTTCTATAGATTCTCTGATGGTTCTTGTTTTGAAGTGTTCAATGTTGGCTATTTGTTTGCAACTTTCGAAGTTTATTTTATGGCCTGTGTTATGCTCGTGTTGAAATAGAGCAGATGTTAGCTGTCTGTTGCGAATTGCTAGTTTGTGTTCCTCTAATCTTGCGGAAATTCTCCTGTTGGTTTGTCCGATGTAGGTTTGGTGACAGGTTCCACATGCAATTTTGTAAACACCCTGATTTTCCAGTTTGGTTGCATCTTTGGGGTTTCTTAAGATCGATCGAACTGTTTGCTTCGGTTTGTAGATTGTCGATATGTTCTTTTTTCGGAGAATGCGCCCTATCTTGTCGGTGGTTCCTTTCACGTATGGTAGAATAGCTCTTGGTTGATTTTTGTTGTCTTCTTGTGTGTTTTGTGTGGTCTTCCGTTGTTTCTTTATTGCTTTGTAGATGGTGTTTGAGCTGTATCCATTTTGTTTCAGTATTGTTTTTATGTTCTTGAGCTCTGCATTTCTATGTGTAGTAACAGGTCAGGCTGTTTGATCTTGATATCAGAGTGTCAGCTACTCCTTGATACTCTGATATCAAGATCAAACAGCCTGACCTGTACTACACATAGAAATGCAGAGCTCAAGAACATAAAAACAATACTGAAACAAAATGGATACAGCTCAAACACCATCTACAAAGCAATAAAGAAACAACGGAAGACCACACAAAACACACAAGAAGACAACAAAAATCAACCAAGAGCTATTCTACCATACGTGAAAGGAACCACCGACAAGATAGGGCGCATTCTCCGAAAAAAGAACATATCGACAATCTACAAACCGAAGCAAACAGTTCGATCGATCTTAAGAAACCCCAAAGATGCAACCAAACTGGAAAATCAGGGTGTTTACAAAATTGCATGTGGAACCTGTCACCAAACCTACATCGGACAAACCAACAGGAGAATTTCCGCAAGATTAGAGGAACACAAACTAGCAATTCGCAACAGACAGCTAACATCTGCTCTATTTCAACACGAGCATAACACAGGCCATAAAATAAACTTCGAAAGTTGCAAACAAATAGCCAACATTGAACACTTCAAAACAAGAACCATCAGAGAATCTATAGAAATTGAAAAAGAAGGTCTTCTTAACAAACGTGACGACTCCTTAAATCTGCCCCAAGCTTGGAAGTCCATAATCTCGAGACGCCAACATCAAACTGACTGCCTGAGCTTCGCTCCCCAGGGGGCGGGGCCTAGCGGCGTAACGAATACGGCCAATCAGCGACGATCCGCTCGAACAGCGCACGATATAAAAGAAGTGAGGACTGAGCGCAGCTCATTCAGTTACCGACTACGAGACCGAAGACAACGCACAGAAGATGCCAAGTGAGACCTTGGCGAAACGTCTGCAATTAAAAAATGACCAACGGATATTTTCCCGGAATAATTGTTCAACATATTACTCCATCCGTGAAACACTTCAAACTAACATATATATATATATATATATATATATATATATATATATATATATATATATATATATATATATATATATATGTATGTATATATTATCCAAAAAATTATTAAATCATGATGACCTACTACTAATTTTATATTTTACAACTGTGACCTACTTTCTCTCGAAGATCGCAGAAATGTCCTTAATTTTCTTGTAGTAGAAGCTGCAGTTGAATACATTTTCGCAAACGACAATTACAAATATTCTCCTTCTTACTTCAAGATTCAATTGTCCATATTATTTTCTTTATCAATTTTATCTTGTAGATCTTGATATCCAACTTGATCTCACCTTTAATAAAATATTTACGATTCAATTTGACACATAAACAATAACAAAACATTATATTATTTTTAATTCGGGAATATTTATTAAAAAATATTTGGGGTAAGACATAGAAATATTTATCATTTTTGGTGTCCTTGCACGTTTTTTTTTAACTACATTTACTTTAATATAAATACAAAGAGCGGCATTAAATTAGAAATAACTGATAAAAAATTACGAATATTCCTGGTGTATTCAATCTTCATTGAAACGTAATTTTATATCAGATGTATTTTAATTTTCTTAGTTTAAATTATAACATCACATTTATAAATAAATGAAATTGAAATAAATGAAAAAACTCATTAAAAAATATTGAGAATAAGAAGGTCTATAGTAAAAACAATACCATAAACAAGTAAGAAAACGACAAGCTATACTAGAGTATTCTGTTAATTATATTATGTTGGTCTTATTTTGTAGTAGCAGCACTGCTTACACGTTATTATTACTGTTATCGTTGTTATTACTGTAGTACACGTTGTTATTACTGTATCGTCTGCAAAACGTAAGGTATTCAAAACTTCTCCATTGATAGATATACCTTCTATTGAGTCTGAGAGCGCTTCTTGAAATACTGTAGACATACTGTAGACATACAGAAATACTGTAGACATTGAAAAGTAGTGGGGACAGCACGCAACCCTGGCGGACTCCTCTCTGTATTTTGATATTTTCGGTGTACTGGCTGTCAACTCTTACCTTGACAGTTTGATTCCAATATAAATTAAATATAATTTTCAGATCACGACTGTCAATATTTTTGCTTTTTAATATATCTACAAGCTTTTTATGTTGAACTTTATCAAATGCCTTTTCAAAGTCTACAAAATATAAGTACATATCCTAATTCATGTTCATGCATCTCTGAGCCAGCACATTCAAGCCGAATAAAGCATCTCTTGTACTCATACCATTTCTAAAGCCAAATTGTGTGTCACTAATCTCATATTCAAGAGTTTTAGCAATTCTGTTGTGAATTATTTTCAAAAATGTTAAAGTGTGTGACTCATTAAAGCTATTGTTCTGTGGTCTGAGCAAGTTGTTGAACTTGGTTTTTTGGGAATTGCTATAAAGGTTGATTGCGAAGTACTAATTTCCTTTATTTAACTGATTTTGATCATTCCTTTTCCATTGTGAGTTTTTCATTTTTTGTTGCCAACAAGGCTTTTGAAATTAAGGAATTCTTCTTGGAACATTTTAGTTAAATTTTATACTTTTCCGATAGTTTGGGCCATTCTCATGAAAGTCCAGCATGCATGCTATCTCCTCCATTTTGGGTGTGACTTGTCATTAAAAATCTATGAGTAATCTATTTCCAAGTAAGAAAAATAGATAGCTGCATAAGCAAACATTGAAATATGGCATGGGTTCTGTTTTGCCCTCCACAGGTATTCGAATAGAAAA